TTGAGATGAATAAAGGTTGTTCATACCTTTCAAGAAGCCAGATAGAGTATAAGTTTGAGGTTTATATAATAGTATTATATAATAGGAAGATATGCCATTTACCATCTTTTTTAATTTTTTTTTTTTTAAAAAAAGGAAGAGAGAGAAAGAAACTAATTCCTGAAAATTAAGTAAAACAAATGATGCATTATAAGTTCACCATTTCTCCTGATTGTATGCATCTTCCATTTCATAACAATTATTAAAAATAAATCTTAATTGTATATGTAGTGATATATTTCGAAACTCTGTTACACAGCTTTTGGTAGTGTTTTCATAATGGATATAACAAATACTGCAAGGAAATGCAGCTCTCTTTCTTGTTGACTAAGACTGCTGCTGGATGGCTTGTATTGCCTTTTACTTTCTGATATTAGTGCTCAATACAAAACGTTCTATTCTTATGACTTAACCCTTAGAGCTTTAATGTCAAATTGCTCTGGATGAGGTCATGTAAGTAAACTAGAGAAGTCTATTAGGGTGTTGGTCTCAGAGGCCCCATGAATCCAAACCACTGAAGTTACACCCTTGCATGATATGGTATAATATAATGCAATGGTGGCTGTGTAGTTGATGTTTACTGTCCGTATCTGTCCTCACTTGTTCCTGTCAGACCTGGAAGGTTTCCACTGCAGTACTCACAGAATTTCTAGGTTGGAAGAGACCTCAAGATCATTGAGTCCAACCTCTGACCTAACGCTAACAGTCCCCACTAAACCATATCCCTAAGCTCTACATCTAAACGTCTTTTAAAGACTTCCAGGGATGGTGACCACCTCCCTGGGCAGCCTGTTCCAATGTCTAACAACCCTTTCAGTAAAGAAGTTCTTCCTAACATCCAAACTAAAACTCCCCTGGCGCAACTTAAGCCCATTCCCCCTCGTCCTGTCACCAGGCACGTGGGAGAACAGGCCAACCCCCACCTCACTACAGCCTCCTTTAAGGTATCTGTAGAGAGCGATAAGGTCGCCCCTGAGCCTCCTCTTCTCCAGGCTGAACAAGCCCAGCTCCTTCAGCCGCTCCTCGTAGGACTTGTTCTCCAGGCCCCTCACCAGCTTCGTCGCCCTTCTCTGGACCCGCTCAAGCACCTCGATGTCCTTCTTGTAGCGAGGGGCCCAAATGCCTGCAAGGCATTTCTCATTACATGAAACGGTCAAGGACAGCTGCTTCTGGGTCTAGATTCCTCCTTATTTTTCAGTGTCTTTTTAACAAGCACACATGTTCACACTCATCTCGAAAACCTGAATGCATTTGCCTGCTGGATGGGAATGGTTTTCTCAGGAGTTTTCTAGGTATTTCCTCAAAATTCTTTGTATTAGTGTGAAATGGTGTATGCTTTCCCTTCAGACATCAAGGCAAAGCTAAACACTGATAAAATGACTCCTATCAGTCTGGGGAGCTTTGGGTCAGGTCTTTGCTGAATTGCATTCAAGTTGTTGGAAATGTCATATCCAAATGTTATATTTTGAGATTTTTTTTTCTTTTTTTACTCTATTCTCTGAAGACTTAGATTTAAGAAAACTGATGCTGTTGCAACTAGTTCTGACTCACATTTTCTTGATTTTAATTTTTATTATGCAGTGACAGATACCTGTCAGAAAATCTTAAGTTGTCAGTGTAAGGCCTGATTCTCCTTTTTCTTGAGAAAATTTTCAACTTTGTGTTTGCCCTAACTAGGTGGGCTAAAAGTGATGAAGAGCCATGTTGGAGGGAGAAATGTTTTACTTCAGTATGATCCAGAGCACTGCAAATATCTTCTTCGGTAGCTTGAAAGAGGTGATTCTTCCACCGCATTTAGCACTGAAGAAGCCTTACCTTAAATATTATGCGCAGTTCTGGGCTCCACGATACAAAAACTGTGTTACAGTATTTGAAAATGTCCAGAGGAGGGCAGTAAAACTGGTAAGAGGACTGGAAGGCATGTTCTGTGAGGAGAGTCTGAGAACACTTGAACTGCCCGGTCTGTGGGAGAGAAGGCCTCAGTGACCTCAGTGCTCTCTGCATCCTCCTGAGGAGGGGAAGTGGAGAGAGAGGCACTGACCAGTCTCTTCGCCGTGTTAACCAATGAGAGGATGCAAGGAAACTGCAAAAATCTGCACCCGGGGATGGTCAGACTGAACATTTGGAGAAATTTATGGGTGGTCACACACTGGAATAGGCTTCCTAGCCAGAAGTTTGGATGCCCTGTGCCTGTCAGTGTTCGAGATACACTTGGATAACAATTGTGTTTAGTTGCTTTAGCTTTTGGCTAGTGGTTGGGCAGTTGGACTAGATGATCTGTGAAGATACCGTACAGCTGAACTGTTCTACTCTGTTCTACTCCATTTTATTCATCTCGATGCACATTCATAACAAAGCATGTCAAAAATGAGAAACCCTTTGTAGATGAAACTTAAGATGTCTGGAAAAAGAGAGTAATTTATGTATACAGTAGCCCTTCTTCAGACCTAGGTTGTACATTGGATCTGGCACACGTTTCCCTCTCCAAATAAAAATATCAGAAGAGAATTCATGGAGAAAATAAGGTATCTCTTTTCCTGAGATTATTGCCATTCAGAGGGCAAAACTTACTATCTCACTATCTCATCTGTTTCATGGTTTAATTCAGGGACTCAAAGGGGAGAGATGTAGATTAAGATTCCAGCTCTTCCATGAGTTTCCTTTCCATTCCTCAGCTTCCCCACCATAAGGGAACCTCACAACAGAATAGCTAAGAGGATAAACATAAAACTCAGTGTTTATGAGGTGCTCTTATCTACGTTATTGCAAGCTTAATTTCTACCTTTTTAGAAGGACAATCCCAAACAATTCTAGTGCAAGGTTATTGGTAACATTGCTGTCAGCTACCAGTTTTTCTCCAACCTACAAAAAGGTACAGCTCCACTGAAGCTGCACAGTTGGCTTATACACCAGCCCAATGTGCTAGACTAAGTCCAGTGCTCTGTCAAGTCCTCTTACAACAGGAATATAGAACATCATGACTTTTTGTCCATGTAGTTGAGGGTGTATACTCCAGTCAGTGCCTGTGAAGCTTATGATGGAGACTTTTGGCTAGCTACATTATCTTTTTCTCATTGGAGTATTCTGAGGGCAGTCAGATGGCAGGATACTGCTCTGACCTCATTCATTTTGTCAATCTTTCCTTTGAAGTGTCTGAGCTAAGATGCCCATCAATAATGCCTTTTCTGGTGACAGGAGATGCTGGGTCTAAAGTCAAAATATTCTGGTCTGTCCTGAATGAGTATTGAAACAGAACAGCTGCCAGACAAAACATCAAATGCTGGAGCCTACTTCTTGTAAAGACATCCCTGTAGAAACATTGAACAAGCCCCTCTGAAATATAGCATCTTGGTAATTCCTTCCATTCATATCAAATATTTTGCTTTACAACATGCAAGGAGGGTGGTCCAGCAATACAGTCAGAGTGAACGTGATCCTGGTCCTCATCTCAAGCTTGTGGCAAGATTCTGGATATGCTGGTTTAGATATAGTCTTTGTGGCCGTGCAACATTGAAAGAAGAATTGGGAAAACGCAAGGGTAGGGAAATCCTGTCAGCCCTGGGAATCGCTGACAAAGTCCCAGTGAGATTAAAAGGTTGCCCATTGTGTTTTTACACCACTTAAACCTCTGTAAGTCATGGCTAAATCTATCACATAGTTAGGAGAGCTGTAAAATAGGAATGATCATGGGATTGGGCTCCAATGTACAGTAACTTACCACAAGATGAACAACACTCTGGATTTTATTAAACTTCCTGACTTAAATGATATTTTATAAGGTATCCTTCAATTTACTCTGTATACAGCACATTGTGGATTTTGAAGGGCTAAAAGTTGGATCTGAAATACCAGTATATGTATTTATAACAAATGTTTGAGTGGTGTTTTGCATTCCTGAAGTATGTAACCTCTGTGAATAATGGTTTTATTACATTTTCAGGCTTTGTTGCCAGTAAGAAAAATGTTTAACTTTTAAAACACTTTTTTTTTTTTACATTAGTGATACAGGTGGACAGCTGTTCTGAGATACAGCCTGTATGTGTTCATGCTTGTTTTTGTATAGTATAAATGTAGACTCATCCGAACTAATTCTATATGTAAGAGAAACAAATAATACAAACACAAGTCAAATGACATGAATTGTATGTCAAAGGCCTTTCTTTTTGGTTCAGTAAGTATCTTTCTACTGTTACCAGAAAGATTAGGTGTTATTGACTCCCTGGTAATTTCCAGGTTCATCTGTCTAACAAAGGAAGAAAAAAGGTTTCTGAATGTGAGTTTAAATTTATGTTTCAGCCACAGTAAATACTCTTAAAGATTTTTCTTGATGCTAATGCTGTGAAGCTTGACTCCTGTTTGCAGAGTTTGAATATAAACTCACTGTATATCCATTATATTAGAGGTTGAAGGTGAAGAAATGATAATATGATACTTGAAATAAAGTGGTTTTGCTAACAGACCAGGGAACATTGTCTATTTATATGGGAATAGTGGCTAAATCTCTGCTGAGTTTACTCCATAGCTTGATGAAATAGCTTCTTGCTTGGGAAGACAATGTGCCCATCTAATCTTGAGGCTACTCAGTGAGGAGAAGATTTAACTTTCTGTAGTTTAGAGTAATACTTTTGACATTGGTCTGTGATCCAGTGACATGGTGTTAAATATTATTAGGAACCTAGATTCAGTAAGGCAGAAAATAGGATGGCATATATATAAGTGAGGCAATTGCCTTGTACAGTAAGAAATGCTGAAAATGTTTCTTGTAATCTAACCATGGCTTGGCATGACCTTGCTTTGACACCAAGGCTCAATGACACAATCTTATCCTCAGGAGAAGTGGATTTTTAAAGCCTGTTATTAACTTCCTATGGGCCAAACAAACAAACAGAGAAGAACTGGGGTCATTTGTGGATGTTTATTTCTTTCTTTTCCTGACACTTTCCCCCACTGACTCTTCCTAGTGCCTGGAGCCCTGCAAAGAATCCTGGGATTTGAAGAAAAACCATTGCCAAAGCTTCTGTGAGGTATGTCAGCCCAAGGGCACTCTTTCACACTTTGTTCTAGCTGTCTCTTTCACTTAAATTATTAGAGGTGTTAGCTTTAAGGAGACAGCTAACAAACATGGGATTTTTTTATAGCATTCACCTTCACTTGAATGTATCCACATATAACTATTTAGCAATATAATGTTTGAGTAAAAAAATTAATTTTTTTTTTCCTGATCTCAACTTGAAGTTTGAAGTGTTATTCAGCCACGCTTATGTAATTTCTCTGAGAAGGTGCTGTTAAAACCCTCCTGTAAACTGCTACTTCTCCCACATTCCTCCTTTCTTTTCCAGCCGTGTGGAGAAAAAAGAGTAAGAGCATCTTTGTTTAAAAGACAAAATGTCACAAATGTGGAAATCTTTGTGTGGGGTCACTAGAAAAGGTTGGCCTTTCTATATGTGAAAGTCAGTCTGATTTTTCAAAGAATATATCCCCAGGAGTAACTGGATTCAGAGGGCAGGCATCAGAATGCTTAGTTCTTCAGGAACAAGTCTTTGGGAAACTGTTTATGCATAGTGTTTCAGAATAACCTTGTGAATAAACAAGCTTAGATCAGTTAAACTCACACACAAGAGAAAATTTATTGGATTTGAAACATAGCTTCTGCTGAGTTGGTGGAAGTCACATGTTACAATCCTTAACAGATTTTTAGTACAAAGTGAAAACATCATCCCAGTAGATTTATTGTAACCAAATCAATATAAAGATACACCTTTATTCAAATCATTTAATGTGTGTGTTTATGAAGATTTTCAGCCTTTCCTGCAAAAAATTAAAATGATCTTAACTGATTGTGCCCTGAACTGATTTGACTCATTCCTTATCATTGTGAGCACTCTTCTGCTGGTAGAAGAGCATGTGTTATGTTTAAACAATTTAAATATCATGAAGATGATTAGGAAAAGCTGTCATTTCCACTAACAAAACTGATTTTTAGATCCAAATAACTACATGTAAGTAGGGAATAAGGGGTTACTAGTCTCTTTAGCTATGTTAAAAGAACAAGTAAGAATTTCTCATGAAAACCAATCCTTGTATGTGTTCTTTAACCAGAATCAGTTGCTGTTTCCTTATATAACAAAACTCTAGGGTAGTGTAATAAAGCAGTTTTAGTGGGTTTAATTTATGTCATCCTCATATATCGCTTCTCACTAAGGCTGTATGTTTCCAGATATGGGTGTAAATATGTATAAATTTGGTTTAAAAGAAAAACATTTGTAGAACACTGTTCTATTGTAGTTGAAAACAGTGAGCATCCCTCTTTGATTAGTGTTTTGTAGTTGAAGCTAAATTTAGAACTTCAAAAGCCAGTAATGAAGAGCAGCACATTTAGCAGCTAACTGAAAAATGAGCTGTGAAATAGGGTGAGGAAGAGAAGCCTTGAGGATGTATTATGCCTTAGGGAGCTATAAAGTTTTTAATTAAGTAGCTGCAAATTTGTGATGTTTTAGGATTTGAAATTTGCTTCACACACACAGACACACACACACACAGGGATAATTTTCCTTTCCTCCAAACTCACGTATGCTCCACAGACATTATTTGATTGAACTGAACCAGGCTGTTTTCGTTTGAGAGAGTTTTAATCTTTTTTTGTATTCTTTATAAAATCTGGAAGCAAAATTTTAGCTTTTTATTTCCCAAGGTCTTGCATTGTATGCAATTTCTTACCTACCAAATAAGTATACTAGTGTTAGAGGAGGAACCTTGCAGCTTACCTGTCTCCCTTTTTTCTTTTTTTTTTTTTTTTTTCTCATAATTATAATTTCCTGCTTGCTGGTTTAGCTTCTTAGGTGACTAAATGGAATCAGGTATAGCCCAACAGGAAGAACAGCAGGAGTGTATGTCCGAGGAACATTTGGGTCAATAGGAGGGAAAAGTGGACCGCTCATTTTGGCAGTTTACACTGGTTAAGCTGTATCACCAAATGCATCCTTAAGAGTTGGATAAAAAAAAATAAATTTGGACGACCCTATAGGATGAAGTGTGAGAGGTAACTTAGTGGTACGTTCCTGGACTTTGGAGTATAAACCGACACATACTCAGTGAACCACCTGGGCCTCCTTAATAAAGAAACGTCTTTCTCATTTTGCCAGAAATATGAGAATGGTATAAATTAGAAAGTATAATATTTGAATATGGGAGAAAACATTGAAGTCACATGAATAATTGGATGGAGAGTAGGTTATAGTTTTTGTGTAAGCTTAAGAATTTGTTCATCAGATCTTTCTGAGTAGATGACTTTTGGTTCCTCTAAAATGGGAAGAAAGCCTATAGATAACTCCAGTTACATGGCTTGCTTACCTACAGTTCCACCAATAATTTTGAGGGATTTACCATAGCTGGTTTTGCACCAAACTAAATAAAGTACCCGCTAAAAGAGGAGATGAAATCCCTGTGTCACACAGAATGACATGGGGTACTAGAAGCTGTTTTTAATAATGTTGGAAATGAACGTTGCAAACCTCTGAATAGTACATATGCTATAAAATGTCTATGTTTTGAAACAATGTCTCCTATAGCTAGAGCCTGATTTCACAGAGGTAACATTTGTTTTCATCTTTAAGAAATACGTTTAAGAGTTATTTTAATCTGTATTTTCTGCTGATCATTGTATAAGAAATTTTATTCCAGTACCATGAAGAGTTATACAGTTATTAACATTTTAGCAAGAACATAAAGATGCTCTTCTCTTAGCCAACTCAGTTCAAACTGAGTATAAGTATGATCTAGGAAGATTTTACTTACTTAAGTAGAGTGGCATTACATCAGATGCTGTGGGTAAAGTCTTGTGAAGTACAAAGGGAGGAATGTGGGATAGTCAGAAAAAAAAAAAAAAAAAAGGAAAAAAAAAAAAAGGAAAGACCATTTGACCATTGCTTTCCTTTGTTCTGAGATTTATTATTATTTTTTTTTTCCCAAATCTGTTGTTGAGCAACTTTGTTGCCAAGCAGTGTGAGGAAAACAAGGGAAAGCTGGCAGATGTAAACAGCTTTATTCCATTAAAGATGGTGGTCTTACTTGAGGGAATACATAATTCTGTGTTTGGAATGCTTTTTTAGAAGCAACTTGAATATATAAATCTTTAGGGATAGTCTTGCAAAAGCTGAAAATCTGTGTTTTTCTTTAGGAGGTCTTGGAAAATGTACAACATTTTTTCTTCCCCCCCCCGCTTTTTTTTTTTTTTCCACTGCTGAAAACCTTATACAATTCCTTTGTTTTCACTTTAGCCTCTTTTTCCCAAGAAGAATTATGAATGCCTAACTAGCTGCGAATTCCTTAAGTACATCCTGTCTGTGAAGCAAGGGGACTGCCCAGCACCTGAGAAGGCCAGTGGTTTTGCAGCTGCCTGTGTTGAAAGCTGTGAAGCAGATAGTGAATGTTCTGGCGTGAAGAAATGCTGTTCCAATGGATGTGGTCACACATGCCAAGTTCCAAAAAATCTGTACAAAGGTAGAGATTATTATTAATATATACTCATACTAGGCTAGTAACTTCAGGCCATAGTAAGGTCTCCTAGAAAACCATGACTTTTATGTCATGAGAGTTTGTATGGAGGTGAAGACCTTGAGGGTGCTGTGACTGGATGCAGAAAGGATGGATGGACAGAAAAACGTTGCTTGCATTACTGATTTTTATTTTTATTTTTTCCTTATGAAGGTCATATCTGAAAATCTATGGAATGTAAACATGGCTATTATGAATCATCTTAAGTAGAATGAACTTGCCAGTTTAGGTGAAATCTCACTTAATTTGATGCAGATGAGAAAGAATGCAGCAGGAAAATATTTAATGATAAATAGTTCAAGTCGCATTAATCACAAATGACATTTATGATTATAAGCCAAGTAGGTAGGACTACCAAATAGGAAGTGTGAGATAATAAGGTAAAGAACAAATCAATGCAGTGTATTGGTGTTCTTAATGACCTAAGAATAAAATAGTGACAAATGATAGTGTCCACATATATATTATTGTATTATTTACATTTAGGGCACCATGAATTATTCAGAAGTTTTTAATTGCCTTGATTTGAGTCCTGAGATTCTATGAAAAAAGGTTTTCCTTTCTATCCATCAGCAAGAACATATAGATTAAGGAATGATTTGTGCTTAGACAAATTCCAGATTCTAATTTCTTATGATTAAATTAAAAATAAAAAATAATAATAATAATAAAGTATTTTTATGGAAATACTTTTAAAATGTGCTTCTATCACACAGTAATGACCACGTGTGACCAACACAAATTCTTTTTACGCAGAATTTGAATATTTTGTTAGAAATCCATTCTTCTACTTTAGTGATAAAAAATAAATACTAATCAGTTATGCTCCTGATAGCTTGGGCTCTCCATGGAGATCCTAATCAGTAGAACACTGAGCTAAGCTCCAGGCTTAGATCTGAATCCAGTTTTATTTCCATCTGCGGAGCTCCATTTGTTTGCAACCTTGAAAACACTGGGGATGAATATGTTTGAGTGAGGTCAGAATTGTTGCCCTTTCCTGGGGTATAAACCTGCTAACAGCATTTGAAATAGAACAGACTATAGTGATTTTATGTATGTTTGATAACAATAAATATCAGGTCTGTTTTGAAGTTGGAAGTGAAATATGTGAAAGAGACGGTGATTTGTTTCTAAGTTCATTCCATTAACTGAAATGTTGATCCTTGTTTTTGAATGTCCCTAGTGATGAGAATGTATGTCAGAAGTAATGCTCTTTGACTTTTGAAACCTGGGTTTGAATATACAGGGTTGGCCATCAGGAAACAGTCTAATTTACTTTAAAAAGTGAAGAAAATTTGATGTAGAAGTCATAGAGGTTGAGTGAACATAACACTGATGAAGATGCTACTTGAAATACTTTGAACAGCAGGCACTGTGATCCAGATTTCCAATATAGAAGGGAAATTCTCTTGCTTCCAGGAAACTTCAGAGCAGCTTTGTAAAATTGTAAGGGATTAATACACTGTCATCCACACCACCTTTTAGAATAAAAATTATTAAAAGGGGATTATTTACTTCTTCCTTTCATCTTCTTGCGAAAATTGAATAGTGATAAACTCAGCATTTGTGTTGCATGTGTAATGGTTTACACGGTCGGGCTCCATACCACAATTACAAAATTGCATACTGCAGGGCATTCCAGTAAATGTGACAGCTGGAAAAGGTAAAAACAAAACTAGCAAACAAACAAACAAACAAAACCAGATGGCATGCTTTTGGAGAGGATACAAAATCTGACAGGATATGATATGCTGTTTAACTGCATACTGCAAAGTCTACTATTGCTCAACCTAATTATATAGAAACAGAATTAATCTCCTCTAAGATCTTATCACCTATCTGCAGGAGGTGCTTGCTTGTAAGAGCATATATGTCTTGCAAAGGAAGGACAACCCAGTGCAGTACTCACTTCTCAGCTGATGAATTCAGCTAATTAGCCTCTTCAACCTGTCTTTCTGCAACAAAGGACAAATAGAAGCTGAGCAGGCTTGCTATTCATTTCCTCCAGGGGTAAATGACCTTCCTGTCACTAAGGAAGAGCAAACTCTGCAAGCATGACTAAGATCTAGTGAATAAGTTTAGTACTTATTCTTATCATTTTGACAGCACTCACAGCTAGAAAATGAACTCAGATTCAATCTAAAGAGTCTACATAAGTTGCTAGAGTTACACTGTTGATCAAGCTCTAGAGATGAAAGTTACAACAGCAGATACAAAATACTCATCTGATTTAACTGGATTTGCCCTCTAGTACTGAGTACTAAAGCTGAATTCTAAAATAATATTAATATAAATACACTTGCACAGAAGTCACATATTGAAAATGTCATTGGATTGACTGTACTTGTATTCCCAATTGTTTATTGGCTTGCATTCAGTATAGAGCTCAAATTGACATATCATTATATATTTATTTATTTATCTATTTATTTATTTATTTCATCCCTGTTAGAAGTATTGCTACTCAGTTATGTAGTCTTCAAATTTTTGTTTCCCTTTGCTGGTGATATGAAATTTTCTGTCCTACTCATCTGTCACATCTACCTCCTTTACGTTGTCTGAATTAGTAAAGGACTTCAGAAAGTGTTTGTCCTTTCTCTATGGCCTACCTCTTTTTTTTTTTTTTTTTTTCCCCTATGTGGATATAATAATGTTATAAATTAACAGCAAGTATATAAAGTAAATTTGGTACTTAAAAGATGTAAGTGGGAGGAATATATCTGCTTAGAAATAAGCTTAAAAACACAGAACAAAAAGGAAGAAAAACTGATGTCTAATGTTTGATCACATTCACTTTGTCTAAATACACATATGCATCCCTAAGTAATGATGTGGACATGTATCTTTTTTCCACACTCTGCTGTATACTGCTGAAAAATTACCTATGACCTTTTTCTTGTTCAGCAGTTAGTGGTCTCTCCAGTGTGATAGTACACCAACTTCTGTGAACTTTCCAGGCCCCCTTTTTAAAAAAAGTTTCAGGGTTAGGCTGTCTAAACCAGCCTGACCAATTTTGTCTGGAACATGTTATGGAGCAATTAATAAAGCAGATCAAACTGCAGATATGAGCAAAGTGAATTGTGAAGAGAATGTTGTGACATGTAAAGGCTATGATGGTATGACAGTGTCATAATTGGATAGTTGGAGCCAGAACAGTCAACCAAAATTTAAAGGCTTTTTTCATGTTTCATGAAAAATAGTTTTGTATTAAAACAATTGTGTACAGTTTTAGAGGTGTTCATCTCTGACTCTTCGAACAAATGTGTTTAGAATTGTACTGGTGACATAAGTGTAACCTTTACTGGCTGAAACCCTTCCATAGAAGCTTCCTATGGAACCAACATTTAAAATACAGATTCTTATGATGGAACAGCGTGCATTTATTTTTCATAGCACATAGCATGTGTGATTTGAAAGACACCTTTAGAAATGTTTTTTTCCTGAGCTCTGGTACTGCACATATATGAGAGTCAGTGATTTGAATTCTTAAAACACTACAGACTTCAGAGAACTAATTTGTCCCAGCATGATGAAAGGGCTGACAATTTACATAATAAAAAGCACATTGAAGAATGATTGGATCTACACATCTGGATATGAAATTGATGATGCTGGTTCTACAAAAGTGTTTCAAAATGCACTTGTGCGATGCTCTAGTCATTTATGCTGCTGCAATCCATCTGCACACAATTACATAACACCAGAGAGGCTGAGTAACTTGCAATCAAGTGAATCCAACTGCCCCTAATGCAGAGCAGATGGAAGTTTTCTTAACATGCAAATTGAAGAATTATTGTACGTTATAATTAAAGAAGGGTTTTCAAATATAGAAATTGGAACTGACATGATCTGTGATGTTTGTTACACTAGGCTAAGGCATCTGGCTGTGGAATGATATCCAGAGTTTAAACTGTGGTGTTAACCAGAGTTTAGTAGTGGATTTTACTCAGGTTAATTTCAGGTTTCTTCAATGGTTAAAATATTGATTTTTATTGACTTGTAGCTAATCACTTAATCAGATTTGGAAGACATCTTAAAATATGAAAGCAGTTTGTTTACCTGCTTGGTACTCCAGCCATCTATGACAGACTGAGTAGAATCAATTATATTACAATTAATAGAACCAGTGCATACAGATGGACTTGTTGGCCCCCACTGAAATGGTGAAATAACACAAATTCATACAATAACTAGGTAAGAAGATTGTATGTCAGCATAAAAGTCTTGTCTGTGACAAAATGATGCACAATCAAATATATGAGCTCCTAATAACTATCTAGGGAAATGTATCTAACATTTGATGTGTTGATTTAATCAAAAGCTGCCAAATTGGAGGAGTTGGTTTTTCTTTCAAGCTACTGCAAATATTTTCCAAAAGGCAGTGTTATCAGGAGTAGGAAAAACAGGAATAACTATCCTTCAGTGACACATGTAATGAGAAATTACCATTAAATTTTAAAAAGAACTTTTTTTTTTCCCTGTAGTGTAGAAGCAGCCTTGGAATTACCTTTCTTAGATCTTTAGGGAAGAGTGGAGAGTGACATATCATACAGTATGGCTGCAAGCTGCTCAGGAGAAGGCAAGCAGCATACTTGCATACATCAGACTAATGTAAAATGTATCAGATAATCCTGTTACTCTAGACTACACCAGTAAAGGCTTAGCTGAGGTCTGTGGCCAGTTTTAGGCATGACTTTGGAGAAGAGCTGTGTCCAATAGGAGAATCTCCACAGGAGAACTGCAAGAATTGCTGAATGACACTGTGGATATTTTATCATTAGATTTGTTTAAAGAAAAATTAGGTGAAAATCTGAATGACAGGTATAGATAGCTGCTTGGGATCAAAGGGTCTTTGTCCATCTTATCAAAGTATATCTGGAAACACTGAGATAAGTTTTAGCTCACAACTTTCAGATTCTTAGTATCTTTAGTTTATAAATTCAATAAAGAATTTTAAGGATTTTTTTTTTTTAAACAAATTTTAGTGTTGGCAGAGGTAGGCTTGTTGTGAACACTTCTGAATGCACATACTTATCAGCCTACCTATTTCCCCACTTTTACTCTTCCATTTGACAAACCATCTTTTTTATTAGTATATATATTTTTTAATACAGCTTCACCTACAGATGGTCTTATCTTGTTTTGTAAATTATTCAAATATTTTTGTTTGTATGTTCCTATTGCAGGTGTTCCACTGAAACCCCGGAAAGAGTTAAAATTCATAGAACTGCAATCTGGAGACCTGGAGGTGAAGTGGTCTTCAAAATTCAATATTTCCATTGAGCCTGTGATCTATGTTGTTCAGAGGAGGTGGAATCAAGGAATCCATCCTAGTGAGGATGACGCTACTAACTGGCAAACAGTGGCACAGGTCAGTTCTTGGTAAAATGTTAAGAATCCCTAGATTCCAGACAATGATCTGAAGTTCCTCGTCAGGTCAAAGAGTTAGGTCACTTTGTTAGTAAGGAGGTTGATACAGAGTGACCCCTTTCTAGGGTCTCTCTCTAAGTCACAAGCTAACCACAGGAGGGATCTTGCTCCAATGCTCAATGAGCCATTTTCCAGACTTTCGGCAAAAATCAACTTTATTTATTTATTTCAACAAATATTTTTACTTACAGTTTTTCTGTTATAGAAACATCAAATGTTTTTGATAGGTATAGAAAATGACATCATTAGAGATGTGTGAATATATTAGTAAAGAAGTAAATATTTCTTTCCTTGTCCCCTCAAAAAATAATACTCAGAGGTTTATATTTTCAAAATGAGTTTATTTTGTAGGTTTGTTCTCCACAGATAAAGATCTATAGATCGAGCTGGAGGCTTGATTTTCACAAGACAACGAGTGGTACTTTCTTGTAAGTACATACTTGTGATCTATTCAGATGCGAGTTCCAAAAAGCCATGAATCTCTTGAAAAATGTAGAGTTAGATAGCAAAATAGGAAGAAAGCATATGTGAGACACAGTCCTTTTGAAGTCAGTGTGCATGGTCTCCAAGGCATGGCTTGGGTCTTAGCAAAATGCTAAGAAATATAATTGATAAAATTTTTCATTGAATTTTTAAAATCAAGAGTGTTAAGACTAAAACCTTTATTCTTTGTAAAGTCATTTTCTTAGATGTTGCTCTCCCAATTCAGAAAAGCCCATGATGTCATGCTCTTATCACTCAGTGCAGTCCAGGCTGAAAATGTAAGATTCATGAGCAAATGTTTCTTAATGAGAAGCAGCCAACAGAGCATAAATTTTCACTTAGTTCCTTCCCAGTTTCAATCTGTTTTTTAACATGCTGACAGTTCACCTGTATGGCAGAGTTCCAGTCGTTTATCTTCAATGCTTCACCCTCATCCCTGCTGACAAGAAAAGCAAAATACTGATTTTCAAAAGACCTGCAAAATGTCATTATAGCTAGGAAAAGGGAAAGAGGGAATAAATAGAATCATCCACAAAATAAAGTAAGGATTTGAAGTTCTGTGGCAATCTGTGTCCATTCTACATTCAGTTTGTGTAGGAAAAAGGTATCTTAAAATAATATGAAGCTTGTGAAACTGAACACTCAAAAGTGAAGTTGTTAGCTTTAGTGCAGTACTTCAGGGGACAGTCACAATGTTAAAGTCTTGCTCAGGGAAAATGACCTTCAACTAAGCCTGGCATGAAACCCAACCTGTGCAATTGCATCCAAACGAACATGCACACCCTCACATCTGATAAAGTTGTAGTGACGTATTTATTGTCTCAGTTGATATGCAGGTCTTCAGTCTGCATTCTCCATATTCAGCAAAAATATAAATAAAGAAAAATAAAAAAGGGCCTTTTCTACCAGGAGAATAATAGAAAACATAAGCCAGATGTCAATTGCTTGTCACAGTTATCATGCTATGTATATGTGCTAGGCTGTAGAAACACAGTTCTTCTTGCTGGTGGGTCTGGACTGCAAAGGTAGCAGCGCACTGCTGTGCTTTTTCTCGTCCCAGAAATAGACCTCATGCCCGTTTCTGGAAGCAAGCAGTATGTACAGTAGTGGAGCATATATGAGTCTCTTCCATCTCACAGGGATATACAGGAGAGAGGGTTTTAGAAATGTGTTCCTGTGCAAGAATCCTGTCAGTTGTCTTTCCTGAGGGTCTGTCACATGCAGGCAGAAGGGCTGAGTTAATCACTATGGCAGGAGAAGCCTCCTCCAACTGACATCTTTCTGAGAACTTTGATGTCTCTACTGCATCATGAGAGATGTGTATTGGATTGTGAAACAGACCCCACTGGGGATGTCAGTTGAGAACAAGCTTCAAGATGCCTGCCTGGCTTTGCCAACTTTGTGGTACCTTATGGGGCATTACAGGCTGTGCACCCTTAAGGGTTGCTTGTAATAAGAATTTCTGTCTCTATAGAGAAATATAACTCAACGGTGTTTGTAGTTTTAGACATCCTGCTGGGCAGTCAAATATGTTAAGTGTAATCAGATGTATTAGGATGTATTTTACTATGTCATCATCAAGGTTGGATACACAGTTTGACTAAAGTGAGCATCGCCTCTGGGTATTTTCTTGTCCATTTAAGTGAGAATTTTTCTTGTATGACTCCAAAGCATTGCGGTCTAAGACTTTGATTATAGGTAAAGGCTGTGAAGAGCTCAGCCATAGAGCTCTCCTGGGGCATGACAGTCTAGAGGAGATGATGCCCTTTCATTACTCTGCAACTTAAGTTAGAGAGCATGTACAGAGCAGAGGAAATCAAAAAGGGGGTTATAATTTTGAACAACATTTTTAAAGGAATTACTTTTCACGTTTTACTTTTTACTTGCTTTCTTCTATTGCATTAATGTGGGTTAACATGTAAGTGTTTTCACATGTCTCTTATGAATTTTTATTTGGTATTGAAAAAATAGTTTTGAAGAAGCTTGTTTCTTTCATATTGTATTGTCATAAGAATGTTTTTGATGATTGCTTTTTAAGAGGGGGAACAATCTACTAATACATTATTTAACTCTCAAAGAATATAAAGAAAACAAACGCATTGAAAATAATTTTATTTTTTTATCACTTCAGGAAACAGGAATTTTGTTAACTTTATTTTTTTGCTGTGCATTTTTGAGAAAACTTGATGTAACTAACAAATGGACTAATTTGCATTAGTTGATACATGTATAAAAACTACAGGAACTAAGATATAAGTTGTTATAAGTAAGTTAACTATAATGTGCAGTGTTCAAAGTGGTTATGCCAAGTTTCTTATACTATTGCTTTTTATGATTTAACCAATTGCATAGGGCCAGCTGCACTATCCCATGAGAATACAATATATCTGATGAGCAAACTTTTTATTCTGCTTGTTGTGATGCTTTCTAAAAATACTCATATTGCTGTTTATATTTGATACTTAGATATTTAATCATATTAATTTAACAAATTAAATTAATTCAAATATGCTGTGCCTGTTATCTCCAGATGGGAGAGCACATCTCTGTATTGTGTGAGTGGATGCCAAGTATGTGTACATGCATGAAGGCAGAGATTAATAAATTCTACTTACTAATTTATTCCTCTATTAAAACAAAGGAGCAGTATTTACTGCTAGCTTGATTGTGACAAACCTTAGTGCTTCATCTTGGAATTGTCTAAACTCTGTGGACAGCTAATCCTTTTTAAATCTTTTGGCTTCTGAAACACCTAAACTTCTGGTTCTAAGGTTATCCAAAATTTTCTCAGCTCTTGACAGCAGGAAATCCCTCTTGAAGCTAACCACCAGTCCCATAAACTGAAGGTTTCTTTCTCCATCATCCAGAAGAAGCTTGCTTTGATAAACATTCTTAAAGAGTGCCCACCAGTCACACAAAAGAGGGGAGGTCTGCTGCTCTTGGCAGAGTAGTGGATGTGGTACTATCAAGCTGCTTCTTTGTCAGAAGTGTAAACTTAGTTCTTCTTACACCCTGGATGATATCCCTTCACCCTTTGAACCGTAAATTCTTTCTCACTGTGCATGATTTCAAAATAAACTTCTCTGCCCAGAAAATTTTTGGATGCCCCATCCCTACAGGTGTTCAAGGCCAGTTTGGATGAGACCCTGGGCATCCTCATCTAGTGGGTGGCATACCTGCCCATGGCAGGGAGTTGGAACTGGATGGTCTTTCAGGTCTCTTCCAACCCAATCTGTTATATGATTCTATGAAGATACATGTGGAGCTATGAACTCATCAGGATAAGGCTGATCTCTACTATTTCCAGTAAACCCCTGCACTAAAGAAAAGAATCCAGGATTGATATTGTGAGAGAATGGGAATGATCACAATGAAATACTCCTTTGATTATTTTAGACCTTGGAAAGGGGAGAGTCTTCTGTAGCAGATTTTTCTACAAAGACCATCTTAGACCATACTTATATATAGTTCTTACCTATATATAAAAGACAGAAAAAAATCCTTGGAGTGGTAACACAAAAATCCCATCTGAATCACCTAACTACTATGTGGCTGAGTTGTATTTTCTCATTCTTTTCCCTCCCTATCCTAAATAATTCTGCCCTTCCCTTACAAGATGTTGTTGAGACCTTCAGCCTGCTTTGCTCGGAGGAAAAGTTTTGCCCATGAATGCAAAAAATGTCATAATTCAATATAGCAGGCAACATCGAAGACACTAAGGAACAGTTTCTCCCAACCTCTCAGACAGAGGATGGGATTGAAGGTAGGTCATCCATGCTCTGGGAAAGTACTTTAATCATCAGTCATTTGTATGAGCCGCAAGGAGATTTCTCAAGGTACCTTGAAGAGAAGAGCAAATAATCTCCTTTGGAAAGACAGTATTAGGGGACTACTTTCAGAAGAGGGCCTAAATAGCTAGGAAAAGAGTAGAATTGTCAGTGCTTCTTACATGAGTCAGTACTACGCTAATGTCAGCCAAATTCTCCCTGTGTGCTGACAGCCCAACCACTTTATTCACTCGATATGACCTGTTGTGCCTTGGACCTGAGATGCACTCTTGAGAAGAGGCTGCTTTCTGTATTCTCCAGGTTATGTCATTGTGATTCCGTGTTGCTCTTATATCAAGTTATATACTAAAGTAAACTAGTGGGGACTTACCTTTGTCTTTATTGAATTTAGGATCATGTTGAGGATGGACATGTTGGTCAGTAATTTTCCCTGAGGACTCTTTTTTTATATTATTTTATTCCAAATGACAAGTGTATTAAGATTGGAACCTAGCTTTAAAACTTTCCTCCTTTAAACAATAGATAAACAGATAAATAAATAGAAAAAAAACTAAAATCAATCTTATAATGATTTATATAAGAGGTGATTTTTTTTTTTGTTTCATCTTTCATTTATGAAATTCTTTAAAACATTATATTGGCATTCTAAGACCAGTAAAATTGTTGTTTAATAATTTCTCTAATATTCAGGACTAATTTCAGGTGTGTGTTGAAATTCAAACCTTACTTACTTAATACTATTCAGCATGCCATCAAGTTAATAGAAGAGAGATATCAAAAGCACTTTCAGTGTTATGATCTCAGCTCCAAACATACTTAAGTAGGGAGAAATAACTGAAGTAATTGAACAAAATATTCAATTTACTGACAGAGTAGTATATCTCAACAGTATTTTGCTCTTTCTTGAAATATGCTAAAACCATGTAAGGTTTGCTTAGAGGTGCCAAAGTAATTTGTAATGCAGGAGCTTTAGTTACAGATACGCCTCCTGCATGCCACTGAGATTAACAGAAGCTTTGCCAACAAAACCAGTGACGAAAGAAATAAGCCTAAGGCCTGTTCATATATTAAAATAATTTTGGTGATATGGGTTGACACATTATTTGATCCCACAACATCTCACAGTTGCCACAGAAGACTGACACAAATGCAATACTGTGTTTTAAACAAGCCCTAAGAGAATAACTGAGCTCATACAAATGACAACTGAGATTCCTCAGCTGAGAAATTTGGGGTCAAGTCTATTCACATTATGCCTACCTTGTAGCTAAATTCAGTAAATCTGTTTTTAAAAATCCACAGTGTTGTGACTAATTAATTACAGTTAGGTCCTGACTAATCTCAGGATCTCAGCTGCAGCAGTATCCTGAATATATCCATGATTTACATGTATTTTTCTGTTAATATAGTTATAGTTTATATCACTCTAATTCACTGTCATGTCTTGTCTGTAAATAGTTGAGTATGTGGGTCTTCATGCTGGGAAAAACAAAAATAAACAAACTAGCACATTTGAGTGCTCTATAGAATGAAAATAATCATAAAACTGGTTCAGATAGGCTCTTACTTCCCTAGGAACCCCTTCATCCAACTAGATAATAAATTCTATAGGTAATGTAAAAGCTAAAAATTGGAAAAAAAGATGAGGCAGATGACGAAGTGCAGGGACTATTACCCCAGCTTAAGCTAAATAGACAAATGTAGGACTCTGAATGGAGAAGGACTCTGAGTAGCAGGAATACGTGGGGGCTCAAAGCAGCAAAACATCAGTCTGGAAGCAGTCTATAATGCAGCTTAAAAAGGCTCTCTTTCCTTCACATGCACACACAAACCAGATAACCTTTTCCTTAAATTTTATTTGTCAAAAAGTGACAAGATTAAGCACAGAATAATATTTACAAGTTTTATTGGTTGGGACTTTAAAAATGCCATTGTTGGAGAGCTGAAACAACTTCCCAACATTCTGGCTATCTGAATTAGGCTGGCAGCTGCTGCTTTCTTTCACAGATTGGAAAGAAAGCAAAAAGCAGAAATGACACCGTGCCTTCTTTGGGAAGTATTTGGCATCACTGCGAGTAACATTGAAACTCATATGGTAGATTTTTTAAGTTACAGAAAACATCTTGTAAAAATAAATAGAAATCACTAAATTTCTTAATGAGTCTGCATCTTGGTCAATGAAGATATTCAGTATTGGTTGTGTAGTATATTTTGACGTATGCAAGTAATTTGTTTCAAATTCATGTGTTATTTTGATTAAATAATTAGATTAAAACACAATAAACATGACAGTCTGAAATAACTTGAAGTTTGGATAATTAAGAGGTAACTGCAAATGTAAAATCAGCCACAAATGGATGAGTTTCTAATGAGTTCTAAAAACACAATATTTCTTATGTACTTATGTACTTGGGAGTGATTCAGGTGTTACCAGAAGGTTGTGTTCAGGTCTGGTGTTAGTACCTTAGGAAAAAAATCAGAAACAGCACAGAAGGCAGATCTTTAAAACCTTAAAGGAAAAAATAGGATAGAAAAAGCAGGCCTCAGACTAAAGTACTTCCTACTGAAAGGGTTCAGAGTGCATCTATGTTTATTCCATATTTCAGTGGTTAAGGCACTCCCTGCAGAAGCTGGAAATTAAATTCATGACACCAGCAATCTCAGTGGGTGTTGTTGATGGAAAGGTCATTTCCTATAACCCGAGAAAAGTCTGCAGAGAAGAGTTAAGGCTTAGAGTGTCATTTTGACATAAATGCCAAGGATCTCAAGAGGGCTTGCATTCATTACCTGAGGGTTTTGTGTCTCCTATGAACCAGAAAAGGTGGCTTCTCACAGCTCTGGATTTTGTGAAGCCATTTTGGACTCACTCTCCCGTTTCAGGATCTGGAGAAATGAATCCTTTGATTTGGGTTAATGAATTCCCTGAAATGTCAACACCTGATCAGCTAAGCCCTATATATTATGGTGAAAGTTGTGATAACTGAAAAGTAATTTTGTGAATTTAGCACTTGACCAGTTTTCTAAAGGTCACTTTTCTAGAAGAGACCTGCAATGCACTGTAATGTGCTGGTTATGTGATTTTGTTCACAACTGTTGACACTTCCATGTATTAAAGAGGTGGGTCCTACCTCCCGGTCTGCCTAATGGGTGTCACGTGGCAGAGAGCAACTAGCCACATCTGAACGAAAAGTGTAATTGTGACATTTTCCCCACCAGACTACGGATGAGAGGGTCCAGCTGTCAGACATCAGAGCGAGCAGGTGGTACCAGTTCCGTGTGGCGGCTGTCAATGTGCATGGGACGAGGGGCTTCACGGCACCCAGCAAGCACTTCCGCTCCTCAAAAGGTGAGTTTTGGTTCCCTACAGCTGGTGCTCACCTTCTACTCGCTCACATGTGGAGTGCAACCTGATCTGCCTGTTTTTGTGGCAGAAGGTTTTTTACAGGTGGGTTTTTTGGCCATGTTACCAACCATCAGCTTTAGAAATGGTGTGAGATTTGTTTGAAGTCAACACAGGAATTAAATGTTAAAGACGTCATTATTGTTTTATCAGTAAGGAGTCTCAATGAATAAATCCATTTTAAAACATTTTACACACTGTTGGTATCAGCCAACATGACTCTGACCTTGAAACATGAAGGAAATGGGGTTTCAACATGTTATTCCAAGATGTTTGTCTTAATTTCATTTATAGTTATAAGTACATTCCTGCCATATGCTTAGCAGCGTACAGGAATAGTTTGTTGCTTATATCTTAATTGCAGCATCATTGTTTTAGTGGAACTACACGCTATTTTAGTATAACTTTCCCCTTGCTAGCACTAATCATAAGGGCTTAGGGATAAAAAGAGTATAATAGTGTTTAGTAGTGTGTACCTGTTCATTAGGAAGTCATGATAGACAGTCCACTAAGTGTTGTAGGATTTTTTGTTGCTGTTGTTGGTTCTGCAAGGGATGTGGGATAACTTTGAAAATGTACCAGTAAATGGCACTGGGGGGATGGGAGCTGGAAACAGATCTCCTGTCCCGTAAATTTTTTTCTGATGCACTTTTCACTGACACAAAGGAAGAGTTTACCCAGATGACTTTCAGGCACAGTAGCACAGGCCAGAAACCATCCCCAGTAGACAATCTGGATATGGTTACTCTCTCTTAAAGACAGTTAATAATGTGGAAATAGCCAGACCATACTAGTTTACTGATGCCAAACAATGAGATGTAACACTCTTCACTGTATTACTAATTGCGGTAAAGTTTCCAATAGACAGACTTGTCTTTGTTTTGGTAGTGACAGAATCTTTACACTCTTATAACAAATACTTTGAGGAATGCATTTCCTCTTTCTGAAGATAAAATTGACTTACAATATAGGCAGTCACCATTTGTGGGTTTCCATGTTAGCTTTTAGCTTGTTGTTTGGCCATAATCAATCCTAGAAAAAATATTATTGTAGATACAGTTATATAGGCATGCAAGTGCTTTCAGTGATATGGATAGTTTATTTATTTTTTGAATAAGTCTACATTAGGATAAATAATTTTGGTACTATAACCCCATTTGTGGTAGGAAGGTTGGTTGGCATAGTCATACCATTACTTTTGTGACCACAAACCTTTATGAATATAAAAGTATTATTTAAAGAATTTGTTACACTTAAGTAGCATGCCATTTCAATGACATCAAAAATACAGTTCCTTCAAGCTATGTTGAGCTTACTTCAAAGATTCAGCAGCAGTGGAGGCATTCTCTGCTTTTTTTTTTTTTTCTTTTCATGAGCTGCAGTGCTGTAGTTCAGCAGATACAGCCCTGCATTGCTGAATCTGGCACCAATTTTCTTTTAAACTCAGATCATTGCCAGAGTTGTTTTTCTGAGTTTCTAAAGATTTTCTAACTATTCTGCTTGGAACCACTGTGCCTGTAGTTACATAGAAGTATATCATGATAATACTGAGGTTTTGGCTTGAGCGTGACATTTTGAAGCAGGATGTGTATTAAATTTCCCCCTAGATTTGTCCCCTGCTGCACTTGCTCACCACAGGAGCATGTTGTTCAAAACACCTACATTAGTAAAGAATGTAAGAACATCCATGCTAAGGCATACTAAATGTCTCTTTAGCCCAGTAAAAAAAAAAGAGACTAAATGTCTCTTTAGCCTAGACTCTAGCAAAAGTGGGTTTCTGGAGAAGTGTGAGAGCGTGATAAGCACAAAGATACTTCTTCAGAATAATCTCCCAAGTGGCAGTGATTTGTTTTTCAGGAGTCTGTGGTTTTAAAATGATTGCATGTTAGATACCAGAGTCCTCTTTTTTCTGTGGTCTCTGCAGCTACCCCTGAAGCACTTGCTCACCTGTAGTACTGTTTATGGCTGTCTGCTGGGCAGAGAGCACTCTAAGCACTTTTAGGACTTTGTGACAAGGACAGCAGAAGACTGTAGTATTTCTCCATGCTCTAATCTAATAAACCAAAGCAAAGGGGATCTTGATAAGGGCATAAAGTATGGTAACCAGCACTGTTCAAAAAGCTACTGTAACTCACAATAACAATTTTCAAATCTAAACTCCAGCCCTGAACTGTGAATTGCCAAGCAAACAGCAAGAACTTCATTTAACTATCAGCTTTGTAGCCAGAGTCATCCTATTTCATCAGTTAATTTGACTATTTTAGGGGCTTTGATATTGTCAGTGGCTGTTACAAAGGTACCGTATTCGCCAAATGAAATGTGGAAGCATTAAGCGACTCAAATGCAGATGCTGCTGGGTGGTGACTGTCAGGAATAACACTGGGTTGCTTCAGTCAGTATCTCTTAGCATCGATGTCCCTGAGCAGGCACTTAGCAGTAAGTTATAGTGTCATATAGACTTTTAATTACTACTTTGGAACTCTGTGGGAAGTGGCAGCCCCTTCCTGGCAGAGAGGCAAGAAACTGCTGATCAGATATGCCTGTTTTTTTGCATGCCAGCATATACTGTCTCCTGCTGTGCTCCTACAGGCACATTTAACCTCTAAATTGGAAAAAAGAAGGAGGACTTTGGCACATCACCTTTGGAAGGTTGCTGGCTCTCTGTGGTACGTTTGTGTAGAGTGTGGACAGAAACTCACATCAGTTCATGTACCGTTTCAATTCATCACGTCGTGCCAAGAGCAAGAGAAGATTATTATCTTTGTCAGACTTACCAGAAGTTTTCCTCAGAAAGAAATCCTCTGATGAGGAAACGTGATAGCAATTCATAAGACATTTTCTCACATGAGATGCTGAACTTTTACAAGTTGCTCCTAGGTTACAATGAATAGCAAATTGTACTTTTTTAAAGAAGGACAAATGTGATATAATATTTCTGTTACTAAGTATTTTAAACTGTTAAAAAGAATGTTCAAAAACATTGATGCTGCAATTACTTGGAGAGACTTCTTGTCTGGTTACTGCAATGCTGTTTATGCTATTCTGTGTCTTTTGCAAGTGCAAAAATATGGTTTCTAAGTAGGTACAGCAAAGTAAAGTTTCATTTTATTCAAAATAACTTTACATCTCCTGAGGTATGTAATTTCCACTGACTTTTCTACCACTAAAAAGATCCTTATTATCCAAATTACTTTAATTTCCCAGTCATGAAAAAGACAAAAACAGGAAGATAAAAGAGCATTTCATCAAGCATTTCAGCTACAACGGCTCTACACCATTCTTAATCTACTTGTGTTTTGATTTTTTTTCTTTTAACTGCTGTAGCTGTAGGTATTCTTCTACAGTAAATAGTTGAGGTGAAGGTTTTTATCTGTTTTACACTGCCTCAGTGTGTTCATTTCTTGAATTAATATGTAAATAATAAATAATCAAAGTGACACCACTGATATATATAATTTATAAAATGTTCAGAGCATAAGCAGAGAAAATTTTTTATGCCATTTATTTCCTATTATTAAAGGAAATAAAGCATTTATACATGCCTGTCTGGCATGGCCCTCACATGGAACAAAGTGATGCTTCATTTTTCTAAAATTTGATACCAAATTTACAAGAGACACAGATTAAATTATGACTATCTCTTTGGAGCAGTGAGACTAGAAGATGGAGTGAATGCTGCACCTTGGAGAGTGGGTCCTTTCCTAAAAGTAGAACTCTGTACATGGATGTTCTGATTGATACTGTCAACTAAAATTGATCAAAACTTTCTGATCTGTTGACTGTGACTTCTACTTCACTTTTCTTTTTTTTTTTTTTTTAAATCGTGTTTGCTTTTTATCTTCCACTGAGTGACAAAAATTTGCAATAACAGCAGAAAGCTAATAGAATGACGGGCAGAATATTTTGATTCCCAAAGGTACAAATATCCTTATTTTCATACTTTGACTGGTTCTCTCCAAGCTGTTTCATTTGCTATAGGGGGAGGAGAGTACTGATCCTACAATCATTAAATAAGTCTTTTTGGAAAAAAAAACCTGTGTATGCTTTTCTTCCATTAAGTGGGCAGTGGATGGCCTAACCCAAATTGCCAGAAGTTACTTGGATCTAGTAATACAACTTACAATTTTTAGGCTACTTTTTTTAGCTTTTTATATTTCATGGTGAGAATGAACTCTCAGTAACAGGGACTGCAGTTAACTAGAGGGATCGGCATTAAATATTTCCATGTAATTTATTATCTTTCTGGTCTGTAGTTAGGTACTGTGCCATTTTCACAGGCAAAAAGGGACTGTATGATCAACATAATGAACCCAAACCATATGATCCTTCTACCTCTACTAAAGTTATCTTCAACATAAAGGCAGCTGCTAGCATGCACAGGATAAATTGTCTAGCAAAAGGAAGTAGACAACATTGTTTTCACAGCACATAAGTACTGTGCTGGATGAGATTTCATGCATGCATTACTGAGTGTTAGTAAAACCAGAACAGACACCCACTCCTGCCAATAAAATTCTTTCTGTTGCTCCTTTGGGACCAATGATTTTTTTATACTCTTGCACAGCTGCTTTATGTGTGCCATTTCCATTGGGCAAAGCCAGTCTTCCTGCTTATGCCTTGGAACTGTTTAAAAGTTGGAAACTTGTCTGTAGAGCAGCTTCAGCAGATTTCTATAGTTGGTAGGCGTAATGTTTAAAAGTTAGCAATGTGTGATCCATTTTAAGTCAGGAAAAAAAGACAAATCTATGTAAGAAAGGATTTTAAATGGAGCCAAACTTGCTGTCACTTTTACAATTCAGATTGGGAATTCCAGGTTCCAATGTCGTTATTTCCTCTCTGACATATATTTCAAATCATTTATTTATTTATTTATTTTCATTACAGTTGCTCTATTTAAAGTCAAAGTGAAGGCATTTGCAGCAACGAATGATGTGATTCTTGTAAGC